TCATTTGGGCAAATGGGAGTTCTCAAAAAGCAATCATAATTCTTCACACTTTTGGAGTGGATTTCAGCCATAGGCCGTTTGCTTTCACACATGCAAATTAAATTTCCCAACACCTCAGTCCTCTGCTTTCAGTACTCAGCACCTTGCTTTGAGTCCTGACTCTAAAGGCTAAGAGCCTGTCCCCAGGAGGTGGGGACAGCTGCAAGACCATGGAAGGGTTGCCACCGCTAGAAGTGTTCCCTGCTTTTGATTCTATTGTGATGCTCTTTCTCTGAAATGTAACCCAGCAAGTGCCAGCATTTTCATTTCCTGACATGAACTTAGACCAAATTGTTAGCATTACGTCTTGCTTTCATCAAATTTTCACCTCAAGGAGCATGAAGCTTGCATTCCAGGACCCTTGACTCATTAAAGTCAGCCTCATATGCTAATATGTCAAGCATGGTGAATTATCTGTCAAACTGCATTAACCTGTGTCTACCAGTAAAGTATAAAGGTACCTCATTTTGTGTAGATGTCATCTAAGAAGTTTTTTTTGTATCTGTATGCTGAGCAAATAATCCAAGAAGCTGGACTGTAGAAAGAAGAACGAGGCATAAGGATTGGAGGAAGACTCATTAACAACCTATGATATGCAGATGACACAACCTTGCTTGCTGAAAGTCAAGGGGACTTGAAGCACTTATTGATGAAGATCAGAGACTACAGCCTTCAGTATGGATTGCACCTCAACATAAAGAAAACAAAAGTCCTCCAAAAGCACCATCATGATAGATAGGGAAAATATTGAAGTTGTCAAGGATTTCATTTTACTTGGATCCACAATCAACGTCCATGGAAGCAGCAGTCAAGAAATCAAATGACATATTGCATTAGGCATATCTGCTGTAAAAGACCTCTTTAAAGCGTTAAAAAGCAAAGATGTCACTTAGAGGACTAAGGTGCACCTGACCCAAGCCATGATATTTTCAATAGCCTCATACGCATGTGAAAGCTTGGCAGT